TTACTAGTTTAGTCCAATTTAACCATGTCGAAAAGAAATAATTCGGATAGATTAATAGTGGAACCTGATTTTAATTTCGATCTCAATACGGAGTTATGTAATGTATTAAGGAGCGATCAAGAAATACATAGTACATTACAAGATTTGATCCAAAAGCTCTCAAAGGATATTATGAAGGACAGAGCTGTTAGAATACACTAAAAAGATGTAAGATACTGCAGGAATAGATTGATATAGTGTAGCGGTAAGCTAGTAGTGGACTGACCGATTGATGGGAGGCGGATTCGTGTATAATTACATGAGAGTGAACCGCTTATTAAGCCGTTGCAAGCAAGAAGTGCGGAATACTAGAGATTTGCCGATGTATGGAAAATTCAGCACATTATGTAGATTTCCAGTGTGAAAGCGACGAAAAGTAGAAGAAAGAGTAGTAAAAAGACTGCTGCCACATATTCGTAGAGAAAACTACTCTAGACTTTTCTGGTTTATTCTAACAACCGTGTAAAAAAGAATGGTGATCAGCAGAGTTTGATGAGCAGAAAAACAGTGAAAACTCCTTCGCACAATACATGCCGTTTTCTAAATTTCCGCCGCAAGGATTAATGCGCCCTAAGATATCTTTAACTTGTAGCCTTACCCCAATCCTAGCCGAACCGCGGCTCATTACCCGTACCTGGAAGGACATCACCCGGGCTCCAGCAGTTCCATTATTGCACCCCCAAGCAGCGCTAGAAAAAGAACTACGAATTTTCTCACAAGACCATGGAAAAACTCTCATTTAGTCAAGACTACCCGAAAGTCGTAAAACTTCCAAGGATTCTGTTGGACGATTTTCTTCACGTAATTCACGAAACTTTCTAATCAGTTCTTAAAAAATGAAGCCCTAGTGAGATTTAGTTTTTATTTGACGGCATTTCGTTGGAAAGCCGAAGAACAGACCAGTGGTGCCTTAACTATTACGTAGATCCTAGGGTGACTAGAAAAGCCGAAGAGGATATCGACGCATTTGTACAGTTTGTTATAAGTTCATCAGTTCAGTTCTATCAGCTGATCGAATACATGTGTATATTTTCATATATACGCATAGAGAGTCTATGTCTGTTCGGTAGCCATTAGCGTACCCGAAGTGTCCTCTACAAATCTACGCAAGTGCGAGACCGCTGCCTGATGTGATTCGGAAGATACAGCCATTTTGGCCTATCTTTGTTCGGTTAGGCGTGATAACCTGAAAAACAGCTTCAAAAATAGACTATCGTATAGAGAAGTCGACTACTATTCATTCTTGTATGAATACGAAAACAGAAAGAAAAGAGTGCATAGCTAAGTCTTCTTACATATGTAAAAAACAGTATGCATACAACACACTTCTCACAGCATTTTGTAGAAGAATGTTTCCTCTACAAAACTGAAGTGCTAGAAAAATTTAATATTATATACAGAGAAAATATGCTAAATCGAAAACGCCCTAAAATCGTCTAAAAATGAGACATTCGGCAGCTCTAAGTGTATTCTAACTGATTCGGAACGACTTTGCTGAATGCCCTAACATCGATTATTGATCGGTGCCTAATCCTGATTGGGACACATTTTTATATTCCAATTGGGATATGCTTCCTCACGTTTTTATGAATGTAAACGATATTAAAATTAAAAAGTTGGAATCTAGTGTACTGTAACACACGATATTATGGCACAATATTATTGGATATACAATAATATTGAGGCCCAGTATTATTGGATACCCATTAATTTTGTACAATATCTTCAATAATGGTTGGTATTGGTGCATGCCTGAAGTGGATAATTTAACGTGATTGCATTATGTTTTTGTAGAAGAAAAGGGGTAAAACATAGTGGAAAAGATCCTTTCATGTGCTCAACCGAATGAGACCAACATTACTTCTCAATACGCGTCAGTTCAATCAAAAATGAATTTTTACATTAGGTTAGATTTATATGAAGAAATTCTTATATCTCCATAAATATTTGTTTCCACCAAATGAAACGTCAAAATTTGGAATTGTGCATATATAATAATGTTAATTATCTGTTTTGGGACGATCTTTACGGTCACCGTAATAATATATACCGGATAATATATATTCATATGTAAAAATTGAAGAATTTATCAAAAATACTTCTCTGTTCTCTATGAAAATTCTTAAACAAAATCGCAATGCAGATTCCGGACACATCGGATCGCATGCTGAAGATCGAATCTCATGTCTCTCGGTAGTCGGGCTAGCACCGAAGCCGATGAGCGGAATGTGATGGAAATAATTTAACTCTATTCAGAAATGAATAGAGTCCGACTTGAACCAATCAGATAGATTTGACGTGAGCTATTCCGTATTAAAGGGTTAGGTGAGTTTTGAGGAGAGTTAAATTCAAGGGATTTATAAAGCTGCGCATAACTTACCGCTATTATTATCCACACATGAAATCACCACAATTAATAATAAAGTAGCTATTGTATTCATTTTATCGAGTGAAAGATACAATGTAAGTTATCTCGCATTTATATAGAACGTAAATCTGCCTATGGAAGAAGAGACAATCAATATAGAAGTGATTTACAACGATTAAAAGCACATGATGTTCATGAACTTGAGAATGTAAGAACAGTAGTTTTCATTTTATAACTGCTGTTACATTCTTATGTTTATTAATTATATACTCTTCATTTTATAACTGCTGATACATTCTTATGGTTTATTAATGCCTTCCTATCAGCAGTACGAGAGAAATCGTCAAACCGAAATTATGTTCGTCCCACGAGAATTTTGCTAAGAAACCAGCACAACTTACGTCTCAGTGGAGAAAACTGCAATATGTCAATTTTGCCTTTTCCCTTGATCCCGCTCAATCAAGAAAACATCAGAATTTTCTATGCTTTCATACAAACTTTATTGTCTAGGTCACGAGAATAATGCTTTTACATGAGAAGTATGCTGTTTTGTGTGAGAATTATGGATATCATCTCCAACATATTATGCTATCTTCACGAGAATTTTGTATCACTTCATAGAAACTTTTTCTTGCCTAGTCCACGAGAATTATGCCTAAGTCTCAAACATATTTTGCTACCTTCACGAGAATTTTGTATCACTTCATAGAAACTTTTTTTTGCCTAGTCCACGAGAATTATGCCTAAGTCTCAAACATATTTTGCTACCTTCACGAGAATTTTGTATGTCTTCATAGAAATTTTATTCCCCAGGCCACGGGAATAATGTTTTCACGCGAGAATAGTGTTGTTTTCTCAAGGAATTACGCATATAGTCTAGAAGAAATTGTGGTCTCTGTGAATTATACGAATAGTGTTCTGGTTGGCTTGAGAATTTCTCGGGTGACTCCAGGAGAATTTATGCGTATTGTTCGGGAGAATTGTCGTGTTTTGAAGTGATAGTTGTGTTTTGGGTTAATGCTGATTGTGTTCTTTGGAGGGATACATTTATGTGGCTATCAGTGTGGGAAAGATGGTGTTTCTCTATGGTATAGAGTTTGGTGAATATTTTGTTGTAGAATGAAAACGTGTACGTTTTCTCCGTGTGTGAGTGTGTGAATGTATGGGATGTACTTTACAGAAAGGCTCTTATCACTGAAAGAATACTATGTAGTATACTATGAAGAATATATATGCAGTCAGTTATGCTTACACAGTACATCTCAGACGTTAGTTTGTATTTTACATGAAAAAGTAAGTAGACGAATAAACGAACTGGACGTGCAAAAACTAAAAGAAGAGCAACTTACTCTCGAATTGTGAAATGTGAATATCAAAGTAATAGTTCTCTATTACGTAGGCACATTGCGCGTCTAATGCTTTTGTTTTATTGTTTTCTCGTGTGCTATAAAATGAGACATGCTGAAGCAGATTTTCAATTCTTTTTTCTCAATGGCTTTGTACGCTGTGGCTAAAGACAGAAAACCTCAAATTGATGCTTCGTGGTCTGCAACTGTATTAAAAAGAAGTCTTTTTTAAAGCTAACTGTTATTGCACTCAGGTGTTCCTTTTTTGTTATAGATTTGCCGTTGCCACCGTGTGGCCTACAAGCTACAAAAACGTAACTAAACCCGATGGAAAAAGCTTTTGTTCTGATGAAGTATGGGTGGGGTGAAGATTTCCATCGGGTTTAGTTTGCTTTCACCAGAGATGATTGCTCTTCACCACCTAACTATAAAATCAAAACGTCGATCGCGTTTTCCGTTTTTTGCTTGGGCACGTTGTTGAAAACCGGGAGAAATGTTTGAAACATCGTTTTCCAACACACCATCTGCTGTAAAACCCTTTTTTAGAGACCACGAGAAAGAGCATATTCAAATGTACAATAAGAACCGAGTGCTCACTTTTGCTACACTTTTTACGGAAATGATAGCAGAAGAAAAAAGTTCCAGTCAAAAAACATATCAAATTTAGGAAGTTTTCAGTTTTTCTGCCTTTCATATAATCTACATAGTTCTCTTGATTGAAGGTCTAAAGCTAAAGTTTGAGTATGGTTTTGTAGAGTATTTCGTGGCGCATCTTTTGAAAAAAACACTAATCTTAGGATCATAAAAGAACACGAGAAAAATAGAAAATATCATTCGTTATGACGCTCCAGACAGAAACTTCCATAATTCTACACAGCTCGACAAGAACATGATTCCGTCTCTTTGACTTCACCTCTACATACTCTCGCTTTTCTTCCAGCACCAACACCCGGTGAAACCTCTCCAGGCATCCCCGACTCAGGTACGTAGGTTTTTCTAGCATGCAGACCACACGGTGGCGATGGCAAATCTACCACATATGGTAGTGGATATTTGTCAATCAGGCACCTATTGTCTAAAACAGTTGACTTACTTATACAACTCGAGCACAGAACAAGAATGCTGGACAGACTGAATGGACATAAAAGATGTGTTTGGAAAAGCCGCATGCCCGTGTCCCAAACAAAATTTCCAATTTCTTACTTTATTTTATTGCTCAGCATAAAATTAGACTTCATTTCCAGCTTACAGCTCGACAAGAACATGATTCTGTCTCTTCGACTTCACCTCTACATACTCTCGCTTTTCTTGCAGCATCAACACCTGCTGCAACACCTCCAGCAATCCCTGACTCAGGTAAGTGCGTTTTTGTAGCTTGTAGACCACACGGTGGCAACGGCAAATCTATCACATATGGTGGTGGATATTTGTCAATCAAGTACCTATTGTCCAAAACAGTTGACTTACTTAGTACAACTCGAGCACAGAAAAAGAATACTGGACAGACTGAAATGAGAGAAAAGATGTGTTTGGAAAAGTTGCTTTTCTTTCGAAAATGAGCTTACTTTGCATGTCCGTCTCCCGAACAAAATTTTCAATTTCTTACTTTATTTCATAACACGAGAAAAAAACGCAGTATATATATCTATGTAACGTGAACGAAACGTGTGTTTTGCTACTGGCCATTTGCCAGCTCTCACGCTTCCAGTAGAATACTCAGGCTTTTGAACATTTTCTCCTTCCCATCTCAGGCGAAGCAGAAAAAATCTTCAATCATCAATATGTAAAGTCCCGGTAATTGGAAAACCAATCGCATATTTTTTTTCGTTTTTTCACACATATTCGAATAGAGGCCTCGAGTTGAGTATAAAAACGTTGTTTTTGTCTTGCAAAAGATATTTTTGGTGGAAAACGTTTTTGAATACTGAGATATCCCAATTTTCTTAAAAACGGATTGTTTTTGAAAAAACAAAATATTAGTTTTTCGTTCTCCAAATTTATTCTTATTCCTCATATGAAACTGCATCCACATATTTAGCAGCATTCAAATATAACATGACCAGAAACATTTGAACCCAAGTGGAGCCTTGAAATCGCCCCGTACCATCTGACAAATCTATCTAGTTTTTTCTTGTAAAGAGTTAAAGCTTCCACTTTTGTGCCATTCTAACCGGGCGAGGCCCAGCAAGAAAAATATAATGAGGTTTTATTCCCATCTATCTGCATTACCGAGAAAATTCATTTTTCTAAATCAGAGACGAAAAGTCAGAATTCTGCTCGTACTTTCGATTTTCTCAATCAAAACTTAAGAGACGTTCCCCACAAGGGCACCGAGTATAGCACTCAATCACGAAAACTAGATTTTGCTAAAAGTTACATCATTCGATTCAGCATGCAAAACTGGGGTGACGAAATCTTTTTAACACTTATGAGCCCTTTTTCTTGGGAGAAAATCAAGTTTTTCCAACAGATAGGCCCAAACAACCGGAAAACTGGCCAATTTCAGCTTTTCATGTATAAAGCCGTCAATTTTCATTCAATCTCTTTGAGTAACATTTCTTTCGACAGAGCGTAGAAAACTGAACAAAACCTGATGTTTGAAAACAGTTTAAGTTAAAAGAGAGGCCAGGAAAAAGGATTTTGCTTGAGTTTTGAAGTTTTGAAAAACAGTTTTGGTGGAAAAATCTGAATAGTCAAGCAACCGAACTTCAAGGGCTAATGGAAATTTTGATATGTTACACAGCAAACAATTCTGCACCTGATGCACTTATTAAAAATAATAAAATCGACACAGATCGGAATCAAAATGGTCTCACAAGATCCAAAGCTGAAAGGAACCAAAAAGCAAAAAATACTTTAAATAGTCTTTTTTCTTCGGGAAACTGTCTTTGAGGTTTTTAATAACTAACAGCCTCCCTTAGCTTTTGGCGCCGACGATAATAACCGTCGTACAAACCCGATACTTCGAAAAACGGGGTTACAAAAACTACAATTTTTGAGAAAGCAAATACAAGATTTTGTAGTGCTAGAAAATTTCTGTCGAACGAGCTATTACTTCACGGTTTCCAATAAACCGTTAATTTAGAACTAAAAGTGTAAGCTACCAGAGTAATGCTAATTGCCCTCTTCTGCCATCTGAAAACGAACAAACGATGGAAAGAGCTCGATTCAGAAAAAATGACCGGCAACTAAGACACTTATCACAAAAATACACACATGTTTTCAGCAGCTGGTCACGTTCCAAAACTGACCAAAATACCGTGATTCATTTCGATATTTTTCGAATAATTTTCGAAATATACAATCTTTTTTGAAAGCTCGTTTTCCATACCCCGACACTTTTATCAATTAACTATCTTCCGAAGAGCAATTTGTCGTGCCGAATACTGATCAGTGTCACAACATAGAAAAGAAAACAAATGTCTATGTATCCCGTATGTTTTGTCATCCCGAAAGTCAAAACGACAATCTTCGAAAAGTTAGATTTTTCGACGTGGCTTTTTCATCGGGATCAAAAACTGAGTCAATCAAAGTGTATTTCTGTCCTATTCAAGTACTTTAGTTTCTTTTGAATTTTCACGTTTAAAAATTATCCAGATTTTCGCCCAGAATAGAAAATGAACTTAAAGTTGCGACATACACTTTGGTTGACTCATTTTTTGATCCTGATATATATTTTTATTGCTCAAAAGTTGAGTTCTGAGGGAAAATTTGAGAACTACGGTCAGAATTCCGCCCTTTTCGCGTCTGATTTAGGTTAAATGACTTTTTTCAGCAACGACAAGAAATTTCAGGAAAAGCTCGACATACTTTGGTTGCCCATTTAAAGGCGCATAGAATGTGGTATCAATACAGGCTCCATGATTTAACAGAAAAACTAGATAGGTTTGCAAAATGACGGACCTTTCTTTTCCAATGGTCCATTCGAACGTTGAGATTATAACTCAAAAACAAGCTGTTCATGCACTGTCGCCCATTCAGTGAAAACTCCTTCCCTTTAGCAATTACATTCCAAATGTACTAACAGTACACTACACAATATATTATGAGATCAATAAATGATTTATGATGCTTTTTTAATTATAATCTTAGAAAAATTAACAAACATTCTTCATCTGGAGATCCATGATGATACATAAGACTATATCAACACACATAGATGACGTAATAAACAATATTTGATGTCTGAAATAATGCACAAAAAGCGATATGATTCACTTCAGTATAGAGATATATGCTAAACTTCTTGCTAAAAACTTTCAAGAATGAAACGAAGTAGTGGCTCCTCTACAATTCTGCGAAATTACCCCATCATGCCCAAGCATGAATTCGTAAGCGAGAAAATCTAGATACACTTGCTGGGGTATCGCTCGATACTCCAGCAAAAGTATCTCAATAAAAGACTAAAAAATATCGGGTTATCTAGATGCATCGGATTTTACCCGATTACACGATACAATATCCAATGCATCTTTTAAGAAGTTATGGTTGATAGAAAACAATAAGAACCAGATACATCTAGCGATTAAACGTACGATTCATGTAGCTGTTTAAAAAAGGAATCGCTAGATATAAAGAGTGAGATATAATTAGTTGTAAATCGAGGTGAAGAAGAAAAGCCATTCACGCCATTGTACCGCACGAGAGTACACAAATACATATACATATACACCGAGTGTCTGCCAATGTTGGTACGATTCAAAGTCGATTTAAAACAAAAAACAAATATTGCTCTCGAGTTCGGAATGACCGAAAACCTATGCTCTCATAAAAATCCCCTCTTGGACGCTTCAAAAGGCATCCTTTCGATGATACCGGTTCGTGCTATATATCATCCCAGTTCAAGAATGGAAAAATCTTCCGTTTACATGACTTGATAAAGCAAACGCACTTCACCGCACTTCAAATTGGATCAAAAATTCACTAAAGCATCAAGAAATGATACTGCAATTTATTTGTTTGTATTTCTTTCTCTCACGCATAAAGAGCATTTTCCTTCTCGGTTACATGTTTTTAAAGATAATCAATGTAACAATAGTAACTTGCTCTCCCAATGGTGCATTTAAAAACATCCGTCTTGTAACAAAGGTTAGGTCCCTTCTCGATTACGTGTTTTTAAAGATAAGGAATGTAACAATATATAACTTCCCATGTTTATCAGATCGACAACAAATTTTTAATACATCATTGGAAATTCCCAATGATGTATTAAAAAACCATTAGTATCGTAAAAAAGGTTACTTCCCTTCTCGATGATTTATTTAAACGACAAGCAGAGCACACTTGATCCATACCCCATACAGAAACGTGCATCTCTTCAGCAATCAACAACAAGGTAAATGTCAGATATGTAGTTGATTTAGTGATCAGAATAAATCTACGTTTAGTGGTCGTGTGTGCACTCATCCTGACAATGAGTAAATTTGTGGTATATATCCTTGTGATTTCGGCTTTGTTTATCATTGGTCAGGCAGCGGTCGTCAAGAGAGGCATCAGCTGGGCATGTACATGGAAATGTACATCATATAATTTGTGTACTCACCAGGGTAGCGTTAGTGCCATCAAATCCATCTTTGATCTTTTCAGACGTAGCAAACGTTCTTGTCCACAGTATCCGTATGGTTGTGATTGCGACAATTTTGGCAAGTGAATAGATGCTGCTTTCAGACCATAAACGAGAATAACGCTCTATTTAAAACAGTTTAATCTTGTGCTTTTTTAATCACGTGCTTTTGTTGTCGCTTTTTCTTGTCTTTCAATAAAATAAATCAACTGTGCGTAAATTGAACTGACGACTTGTGGGCACATTTGAATAACTCGCTAGCAATCAAGGGAGACTGTATTATCCTTACATTCCGGTCTCGTAGCCCGAACGGGATATATAATTATTAACGAAGACAAAAGATAAGAAAAAAAGAAAGAATGTAACTCACATTTTGTGTCTCATTACAAATAGAAAACAATTTCGTTTTGTTTTCACATAGGTATTAGCAGCAGAGTCTTTAAAAATGACCCAATATTCTTTAGTTAACCTGTACAATAAAAACAATTGAGCGTAAAATGTTCACGAGATCGAGTTCTATACTGTATATTAGTTTAGAAAATGGTGCACCTGTAAGTTAGGATCCTAGAGAAAAATTCAGAAAACTACGAAAAAACCGCTTTCAAAAAGGTTTTTCAGTCGAATATTTACTGTACAATCGTCAAAAAGTAGTCTGTTCGATTTGCCTTGATAAGCTCTATATTGTACGGTCATTTTTTTTCAATAAAATCTAAATTTTCTTTTTTATTAGCTAATTCTTTATTATTCCATCTTATATAAGCATAAACGGGTGCTTGCTTACATGGTTCTAATTGACATTCTAAATTAATTTCGCCGAGAACGAACAAAACCTAAATATCTTGTTATTTATCTAAATGTGTTTTCCAAAGGTTATCATTACCACCGCCCTCCATATAGAAGTCGATTTTCTCAACGAGGAAAAGGAATTTAAAAAACAGCTCTCCGTACTTTTCAAGCTGGTCTCTTGGCCGATCTAATGCTGTATGAATCAAAGGTATAGCTCTTCACCCAAAAAACTAGATAGGTTTACAGGATGAGTCACACCTCATTGGACACCCGCCGGTTTGAACATCCATGGTGGACGAGCGTTTACCTTTGTAATGAACTGAAAACTTTTAAAAAAACAGAGAAAGTATACATAAAATTATTGAAATCATTCGGGCATTTAAAACACTGAAGTTTCGTAACAACAATTTCTGCTGTGTTTATTACAAATTACACAAAAAAATATGAAAATACACTTAATAATGTATTTAAGACTTCTGCTAGAAGGAGTGACTTGTTGTCGATGCTGGATTATTTAGAACTTCCAGATGTAGTGGGCTACTTTTCTGATTCAGAATCACTTCCACGTCATCGGTAGTTACTGGCGAATTTTTGAATCTTATTTTTCTTTCTCTTGTTCTCTCTGGAACGTTATTATCATCCGAACACTTCAAAAGAAAACAGCAAACATTTTTGGATGACTGTCTCATGTCTAAATCTTACCCATGTCAGATGCACCATTTTCACACTAGTCAATTTAACTTTGATCTCGTCAGCTCTGTGTTGTGTGAATTGGTTATTTTTTCTAATTAGAAAAACACTTTCTTGACGCTGATAGTGGTTCGATGAAAATCTCACTTACAATGCTTTGTCAACAGCCTTTTCAAAGTCGTCTTGTGTCAGCAGAAGAACAGTATTCGTTGTCCTGACGCTTTTTGCGGAGTCCAGATTCATCTTATCCAGTTCTTTGTCTAGAACCTTCCTTGTTTTCTCTTAGAGGTCGTTCATATTCACACGACCATGTTCGATGAGGTGTTTTTGTTCGAATGACACTTTGAGAGCCCCTGCCTCTCATTTGTGCTCTCAGATTTTCTCTATCTGCTACACGACCACCAGTAAATAAAGCTGCACTAAAGTTTTGTTTCAAGTATTGCACATCATACATCGTTGCGGCTAGTTGATCCTGATAAACTTCCATGGTTGCTGCTGCGTCTTGTCTTAGTTGTTTTCCGGCACAATCGATTTGTGGACCGATCGCATCGAACAGACAGTTGAATCTACAAATGATAAACAATACAAAAATGAAACTAGTTCTGCATGAAATGACTTACTTTCCAGTGCTTTTAATATTTTCTCTGTTCTTGACTGTCCAATGGCCAAGATCATTCGGTTCGCTCGGTGGATGATAAACGATGTCGATTGCATCTTTCGATGTATCCTCACCAATGACATGTTCGACACGACCTTCTTGATCATAAATACGAACTCGAATGTTCTTTGCTTGACAAATAAATCCGATATGGTGAATTCTTCCGGGGGCACCAGTGCGAACATCATTTATCTCTCGATGGGCTGATGCTCGCGTTTCACGATTGGCTTTCGCATTTATTTCTTCCTGAGTTAAACTTTGAAAATAAGCCACTGTTCGTTTATGATGGAATAACTTTAGCTGAGCATTGATATTTTGATTGACGTTCGAGGAGACATGATCAACCGTTGATGCAATTAATGGTGGAACTAAAACGCCCTGAATAAATTGACAGATGATTTTGCTCATCTGTTCTGTAATACCGCTGCAGAACGCTTCCACAGTCAAATGCATTTCTTTATTCTCTGCTGTTCGTTCATCAGTTGTGTCGTGGTATTGAGAATGTCTCGGACTTTTTTTGACTGGGCTAATTTATCAATTTCTTTTCCAAATGAATCTACTATCGAGCCGAGTTTAGTAGTAACGGGAAATAATGCCAGTGAGATCGATGCCATTTTGGTTACGGCTTCACCAATATTCGACGGATCTTCGTTTAAGAGAATTCGTCCAGTTGCGTTGCATACGAGTTGAAGGTTTTCTTTATGAACATCGGCAAGAACCTTCTGTTTTAACTTGTTAGCGAAGAATTGACTTCGTTGTTTTCGATCACAATCCACCAAGCGTTGTAAACTCGCATTGTCTTTATATCCGAGTACGATTAGATTGGACACAACGTTTTGTATGAGATTTTCGACGATCGGAACGACGGTTTGTGCTAGAGCATAGTTGACCAAGGGGAGCGTCACTTCAATGGTGGCGCGTTTGACAACTTCCAAAGTGACTTCCTGCTCGCCGATCTTGAGTCCTTCTTTCGTCGCTTTTGTCCATAAGTCTTTCATGCCATATTGGACAGCATTTTTCGCTGTGCTGAAGCCACTCCGAATAGTTCTTGCTGCCGCTTTCAAAGCACTAAATCCTGCACAAGCGATGGTCACTGCTAAACTAATGGTCTTCTGGATGCCCCATTGTTTCCAGCTAAAATTTCGATTGATGATGCCATCTTTCACGCAACTGATCAGATCACTGATGCCTTCTTGTAAAACGGAAAGACCAAGACCGGTACCTGCGCCGAAACTGAAGACAGCAAGGAAGACCCCAGCAATGATTTGGCCGAGACCAATCGCTCCGATGCTAATCACTGACCATCAATCGATGGGCTTTCGTTCGTTGAAAATGATCGTCCCGATAAAACCGTTCAGTTCCATTTCAGCGATCTCTTTCTTGTATAAATCTTTTTTTTCGCTCGAACGATTCCATCAATGTCTTGTGTTAGCGGAACTATTTCGTATTCAATGTATCAATTCAGCCGAATGTCTGTAGGGAACTAGTGACGTATTTTCTGTAATCAATTTTGGAGTGTGTAGAATTAGAGGATATTCAAGAAAAAATACGTTTCAAATTAAACAATGAAACGTCGATAGTTAAACCTGATCTTAAAAACAGTTTCGATCATCTTCTAACTCTAATAAAACACCAACGACAACAAGAGCAGCAAGGATTCGAGAACTCGAACGACAGCAGTGAAAAGGGACGATTGTTCGACCTGGTTCTACGTTATCCTCTCTTAAAATCTTTAATTTCCTTTTACGATCAGTATGAACAGTCAAACGTCAATAACGAAAATTCATTTCTTAAAGCTCTGATCGACAATATCACTAGTAATTAGGTATGTTACAAACCCAAACCCAAGCGACTTGGGTGTATTGGGTTTAAGTACCCACTGTAAAAGTGATAGAAAATAATAGAAGGAAACCTGATTTTACCCCAAAGCCAAGTCCGACACTTGGGTACCCAATACCCAAACCCAAGTCTTAGACTTGGGAACTCAAACCCAATACACCCAAGTCGCTTGGGTTTGGGTTTGTAACATACCTAATTACTATTGATGTTGTCGATCACAGCCTAACTGAATCTCTAGCGAATGTAGTTATATACTGCATCATAGACAAGCTTTAATTCATTTTTATCTCCAAAGTTTAATCGTAATAAAAACCTGTTTAAGATAATTTTAACGTCTTCTTTCGGCAAAGGAGTGAAAAGCTTGATGATAGTCAGTCTATAGCCCGATCATAAGCTGCACATTCAGAGAAAAAGTGTTTGGAGCACAGTGGGCAACCGCATGGAAATTAGGGAAAAAACGAAAGCGAGATATTTCAAGTAGTGCCTTATATAGACTAGCCAACGGCAAATTTAATGGCAAAAAAATTTTGATCCAAATGCTTTAAGTGGCCGAGATAGGTAAGTTTCAATTTTCGCTTATTTTTCTGCTATTTTTGAGAACATCGCTTTTTCGTGTCAGAAGAACGATAGAGTTAAAAATTGAAATGCATATATTCTGAAAGCTGAATGTTTGGGCTATCGAGCCATAAAAAGAATTTTCAGTTCAACTCATTCCTGTGGTAGAAAAAAGGGTTTTTCCTTCAGCCGGGTGTTTTCTCAAAACATGTGTCCAGTAAAGTAACGTTTCCATTTTTTTCCAAGCTCCGTTTTCAATGAAACTTTCAGGAAATGTGCATTTATACAGAGCACAAATACGTAGATATGCGTAAACATGCGTAACATGTAAGTGGCTCGATTAGAAAGAGCACACTAGAAAACCTACAGAAACATATCTGAGAGATCTTTCCACCGCCTTAAAATCCAATGTCCACATGTCTAGCCGAAATTCTCCACTGTGTGGGGTCTTCGACTGTCCTATCAGTACACTGCTGAAAGATGTTGCCGTCAACAAGTTTATGCGCCTTTAAATGTGATCACAAAGCTGAGAAATCTATTCAGTCTTCAAAATGGAAAACAGAGTGGATTTCATTTTTATAAAGTGGAAGACCACTTTGCTTTCACAGGGACCGCCAGCCATTAGAAACGCTGCATTTCACTCGACAAGCGATTATCCTCTTCCGGTTTCATCGTCGGTCAATTCAAGCGTCTGCACTACTTACATAATCGAAAATGCCCCTTCTCACTGCGATATTTTATTATTTTTAAACCTTTGTGAGCTCGGAAAAAGATTCTGAATGCTAACGGACAAATTCTGTTTTGTTGATTCATTCTACCCTGACTTTTTTTTGTTCTATCGTGTATATGTTTTAATTTATTACAAAAAACATGTAATTGACAAACTGTAAATTAGACAAACAATTTATTAGTATAATGGAAGCTATAAGTGACGCATATAATAACGCTGAAAAATGGACGACACGTCGTGAGATTTTATCTGTCGTCGCACCTAAAATAAACTACAAACTAGTACAGTCATTCATACCAGGAATTACAAAGTATCGTTTTTTTGTAGCCAGACGACACGCACTTGAATTTGGTACAGGTAAACATATTGAATCGACACCTGTTTTACGACAACGATTTGAAGATTATCAAGTCGAACATTTCATCGACTTTATTTTATCACCGCACATATGTACA